ATGATCACCATGGGAATGAGATGTGCCAATTGTTAGACAACTGCATACTGTATATTATAGATTTAGCACTAGTGGTTACTAGTAAAATAAAATAATCAAAAATTAATACATTATTGATGCCGCAAAGTCGCTTTTTTCTGAACATATTTACAGGTGCACGAAAAGACATTTGGTATACGTAATACAGTTGGTCTGTCTAAAAACGTGTTGTGATATACTGGTTAATATGATGAAACATAATATATTCGTATAAATTATCTTAGATTTGAATCAAACTAGAACACTGGACTTTGAAATTACTTTCCAAACAAGAAATATAGAAAAATGCATAGTTTCTTTAAAAAGAAGATACATGTATTGCATGAATGCCAATGAGACAACTCTCCATCAGAGACCAAATGACACAGAAATTAACAAGTATAGTTTATCGTACGGCCTTCAACAATGAGAAAAGCCCATACCGCATATTCAGCGTATTGTGTATAACATATTAGACGTTTATGATATATAAACGATAAAAAATAGTATTAACATACTTAACATACTTAATCTTGATATTTGTGAACTAAATTTTAATAAGTTGAGAAATCTTATGTTTAGATATAGTCCCTTATAGTGTATAAACCTAGAGATATTGTCAAATACGGGACAGCATTGACTATAAACTTTGTAAATGTGTTATATTAATTGATGCCTCTTCACAAGCTACTAATACTACTACTATATTGAACACATGTCTTACCTACTTATACATAAAAAACGATATTCAGTTTGATAATTCAGAAATTAAATAAGGATATTGCTTATTAACAAAATAATCAAAGGGCTGTTTTGAATCACAACGATCATTATCTTCCTCGACATTAATCAAATGACATACCACGATAGACATATTCTTGTTGTTTAACTTGATATAAACTAGGCCAGCTGAATCCTGGCTGAAGACTAACACTTGTTTCGTTTGAACACAGTACACCGAATTCTCGCTTTATTCGCAGTATATCTATTTTTGAGGGTGTCAAAGTTGTTTGTATCAACGATAATGTAGGTGGTATATTGTTGTCAGACTCTTCTTCGATCTCCTTAAGAATTGACTTGTTCTTTGTATTATTCTTGAGAACAGCATCCTTGTGGGAATCTCTTACTTTATTTATAGTTTCTACCAGTTTTGCTGCATGAATATCAATCGCGTTCAACTGCTCTTCCAATTCAACCTGCCATACTTCCTTATACACTTGAATGTGTTGTTCAAGCATTTCATTAAAATGTATAACGTTGTTTGTTCTTGGAATGGATTTTAGGGCATGCTTTGCGTGTGCTGATTCCACGCATCGATCACAAATAAATTGCTTACATTCTGTGCATAAAAATGTAGTTTCTCTGTTATGTGACGAACAAAACACGTGCTCTGCACTTCTTTTAAAGATTGCACACTGACTTCCTGACATGGCTGGAACTTCAGTTGGTCTATTGTATAAATAAAAAAAAGTAATCTAAATAATATTTTTATTTTTTTTATTTTGTTTTTGTTCTTCCATACATAGTGTTGGAAACTTTGTTAATTAAATGTAAAAAATTCATGTAACATTTAGCATTTTCTTTTTGTTTTCAAGCGTCATTTTCCTCATTATCTATTTGTAAACAATGCGTTTTGAATGTGCCTCTTATACAAATAATATTTTTTTTTCGAATTTTTTATAGATTTATTATTTTTATATTTTTTAGGGACGGCAGGCAAAGTGACATCACAGAAAAAATCCGATCAAAATCCATATAGTTGAGCTCTACTGTTTTCGTAGCCTGTTAATAACGTTTATTAATCATATGAATAGTAAAGCCTGATGATATATTTTAATTTGTACAAAAGTGTCCTGGAACTAACAAACAATTAGTATTGACAGTTTAAATCAAAATACAAAATAATAAAATTCATAGTTACCATATCCCTACACCTTCGCTCACACAGCATGTCCAGTTTACAAAATCAATGGTATTTATAAACTCTTACTATGAGGAAGCTTACGTTATGTAGTATCATACTTCCGAATCGAAATGGGCTATGTAGTAGGAGGGAAGTGTCAAATTGACTTTTAAGTAGCTAAACATACAGGGAGAAAGAGAGAGGAAGACATAAAATCAAGATTCGATTTCATAAATCAATGAAGAAATCAGCAGTAAAATTACGAGTTGTTGACTATTGATCCCTCATAATGAGAAAGTCATTTGTATACTTGATAATAATGTCAAAGGTTGCTATCGATTATGCAATAGTATATGATTAAAACATGTAGCTATGATATGTGTGCAATATTAATTGCGATGTTTTATTTTGACAATTTATAAAAACGCAACACATCATTCGATCCTTTTTTAATTACAAATGTTTGTATGTGAGCATTTACTGTGTGAGGATATTATACGAAATTTGTACGGTTCTTTCAGTAAACAAATTACCAAAATCGCTCGAACTCTAATCAGAGGGAGCGAGACAAGTTGCTCTCGTGAATAGGCTCAGTTAATTACAGGAACAGTAAACTACATTGTCATTTTTTCAGCATTACGAACTTATTTTTTTGCATGGCTGTTTTAAACACCAACTTTCTTAAATGGAACGAAATGACATTTTTAATTCAAGTACTTAAAAGAACTATTATTAGAATCCTTTTTGTTCAATTTAAGCATGGTTACATCTTCAATTCATAAATCACGTTATACATTTTGTAATGAATCATTGGATGAGGAACACAATACTTTGATTTTAAAGGATGTTCACTGTGAAAATTCAAAATAAATCCTTTCCAAATTATAAATTTTATTATGGCATGTTTAGACGTTACACAGGTTATTGCAGCAAAGCTGCGAAATAATGCACCCAAAATAATATCCTGCTTTTAAAACAATCCATAATCATTATCTTTATGCATATATAAATTCAGCAGGTTTTTTTGTTTCAGAACAATTTATAAAGCTTTATCTTACTTTTATTAATAGTTAACACAACGAACAAAATAATCAGCAAAACGTCAAAATGTTACTTGTCAGACGTCACAATGTATACGCATATCAATTTTGAAAAGGATATTTGCATTTTGCAGAAGATAGCTGAATTCGTCAAACGTTGCTTAGAACCTTCGACGTTATTTATTATTTGTGATGTCATGATTATATTCGCGCTGATTCAACGCCTAAAACTGATTTCGTGAAAAACCTGCATGTTTTCACAATGTCAGATTTCAAAACTTTGTCAGTAATCAAGTTTTATGGATATTTTAACTATAAGACGAAATGACGTTTCGTTTGGATAAATAAAGCTAGCAAAAGTTAATATTTAGATAATTTACCAACCGACTTTTATCAACCTTTCACAACTTTCACGGCGACTTCTGGTAAATGTATTAAAAGAATGTGAATTGTCGACTTTTGACGTTATAATAAGTAAACTGTCAGATGCAATTTCCTTTAATAAAACATTAGATAGCAAGCACATAACATATTGTTTTTCTGTAATCTTACTTGGACCCTAACAAACAGTTGCATACTTGTTGATTCTGTGCTAACCCAGTAGGACAAAGTCCTACAGTTTTGTACACTCAACGGTATGTTTTACGTATTTGTTAGTTCGGTATGTTATCAATATCTTTTGGAAATCAAATCGAAAGGATTTCTTAGTCCTTACGTTTTATCAAATTAAGAAAAAGATGTACAATTGTGCTCTTGTATGACTAAGAAGGTTTTAAACAACAACGTACGGCTCGGGTCGACTTCGATTTAAAATTAAAGAATATATAAAAAAACTGAACTTGACTGCTTTACTCTTTATCTTATATTTGTATATTGGGAAAACAATTGCTTCCTAATAAAAAGATGTATTTGATTAGATAATATCAATAGATTTATATATTATATATTGTTATTATTTGTGTATATTATGTTGTAAATTGGAAGTTATAAATATTAAAAATTAAAAAAAATTAAAAAAACTGAACTTTTTAGGTGTCGAAATATTTTCACTGTTGTGTTACATGCTAGTGTAGAAATGTGGAAAACACCAATATATGTTTAATTAATATTTACTAAATGATAATTTATAACAAATTTAAAAATAATTAAGTAAATTATTTTTACTTATTTATAACACGTTGATAGAATCTTAAATAGCTAAACTACATATATCAACACATTATTTCTCGTAGTCTTCTGGTCTGAGATCTGTGATAACGTATTGATACGCGGTTGCGAGAAAATTTGAAATTTATAAAAGTAATAATGATTTGAATTGTTTATTGTGACTTTAATTCTGATACAAAGGTGACACTCTCGATATAAATAATGATCTTATTAAAACTTTGTTGATAATGACATATTAGTTGTGGTTTTACCAAAGAGTGGCGAAAGATGGTATAAAAAGGAATATTACCCTTCACATTAATAACAGGCCTTCAAAAAGTGCAAAACAGTGTTTTTAATTGTACACAATACTTTAATTACCGATATAAATGTAAAAGTAAATTTTCCAATTCTCAGCCATATTCTCATTTTTTTAATTGTAAATTCAAATGTAAAGTCACCGATTACAAATTCAAATGTAGAAGTTATCGAATACAAATTCAAATGTAGAAGTCACTTATTACAAACTAAAATGTCGAAGTCACGTGCACTGATTACAAATTCAAATGTAGAAGTCATTGATTACAAATTCAAATGTAGAAGTCACCGATTACAAATTCAAATGTAGATGACACCTATTACAAATTGAAATGTAGAAGTCATTGATTACAAATTAAAATGTAGAAGTCATTGATTACAAATTAAAATGTAGAAATCACTGATTACAAATTCAAATGTAGAAGTCATTGATTACAAATTCAAATGTAGAAGTCACCGATTACAAATTCAAATGTAGAAGTAACCTATTGCATTTTAGGACAGAAAAGAAAGACTTTGACATCTTTTTGAATAATAAGATATCGGCGATAATTATCATTATATCATGCCATGCGATGGGCTTCAACAAGACAGAATGTTTGTTATTACTACACTATTTTAGTCTGATTAAAAATGAATTTCATTAATTAATGATCTTCAGCAGCTATATAGCTTTTCAAGAACTACGTAGATTTGTAAAAAAATATATATAAATCAAATGAACACTTTTTTTCGGTTAGTCTAAACTCTAATACTCCATGTCTATTTTTTCACATTTGCTTAGATATTTTATGTAATTGTGAATATGCATATTCCTTATAACTATGATATTTGCGGTTAATGGGAAATAAAGTTCATTTATTCAATCACTCTAATCTAAACGACTCTAGGGAAGAACCCGTCTAAATTGCAATCTTTTTCATAATTTTGCAGGGGAATAAACGGAATTAGTTATTTTTAGATATAAATACAGTTTACAACTAAAACAATGTAGTTCATGAAAGTGTTCTGTAAAACTCTTTTGTCAGATTTCAGAATTTTGACCATGAAATACCTGCCTTATCAGTAAACTGTATTTGCACTGAGAATATGAATAAACTTTATCATGTTTATTGTTGTTAGCGATTGTCAAACATAGTTGGATAAAATGAAATGTAATTTTAATTTTGCCGTATACGCTTTGCTTTGTAGATGTATTCTAGATGTAAATGCAGAAATCTATGAGGCTGATGGTGGGGCATCGCAATTATGGTAAGAACTGAATGAAATCAAAGCTGTCCTTACGGAAACCAGACTTGACCTATTTCATACTAGGAGAGAACTTAAAGGTACCAAAGATATCTTGGCAAAAACAAAGGTACGCCTTGAAATTATGGAAATGAAACAAGAAAAAACAACAGAAAGTCTGATGGAAACAAGCCGGGACCTAGTAGGAACACAAATAGATTTTAAGGAGACACAGAAATTGATGAACCGGAATAAAGGAACGTTTGATGATTTGCATACAAGTAAGTTTTTAACCATTCTGAAAGTTAACATTCTACCAAAGTTCTTACAGGGTGGTTTTAATCATTAGTTTTATCTGTTTCTGCGATATTTGGATTGACGGTGGACTATTGAGCATGGCCAAATTAAAACAGATTAACCACAATGTTAAAAGAAAATTTAAAATGAAGGAGATCTTAGAACAATGGATAAGGTCCAAAACATCAACCATTTCAGCGTTATCATGACTTTTTATATGAACCTTTTTGTTTGCGATAAACAAGAAAATCGGATTATCATGTAAAATTATTGGTACTTGACCTGTTTTTCTATGACAACATTATATATATCACAATCAAACAACGTGGAGTTGGTCGTACAAATTTTAAAAAAGGTAAAAAGATACCTTGTGGGCAATAAAAAAAACAAGTACAGACAGACAGACACACAAGAGAAACACTGAACAGAACATGAAACCCTTAAAAAAAACGGACATTAATCCATGTGGTCCAGAAGGATCGGGGTTCAATAAATGAGTAATATTGACACTTATTCTGTAGGTTTTTTATATTTTGTTTGTCATTATTGAAATGTATTTGCCGTCATTTTGGTTTTAATGGTTATGAATTATTTATACTGATAACCGTCTGTTTACTATACATGCAGTGATTGAATAATTCATAATGTTTAAAAAAAACATATTGATAGGAGCTGTAATTCAGCGGGCGTCATTTGTTGTGCATATCATATTTTTTGTTGCTGTTTCGTACATAAATTACGCCGATCATTTTACTCGTTTGGACTGTTTTACATTTTGTCAATAAGGCTCCATTCATAGCTTGATATAGGGTATTGGTTTGGCTCATTGTTTAATTCCGAACAGTGATCTATAACTGCTAACATCTACTCCATTTGGTCTTTTGTGGATAATTGTCTCATTGAATGTATAGTTATGAGGACTGTCTGTTGTTCTCTTGGATACAATTTATTTAAAAAAAAATCTTTCAGCAAACAACCAAAAACGGTTGCTGGATGCTACAGATATATTGCATCAAGTTCAAGTAGACGTACAGAATCTAAAGGCCAATATGGCAACTGTCCAATCACAAGTCAAAACTAGTAAGTCCTACGCATAATTATATAACATATTTAAACCAATTAAATGAGTGGTAAGTGTAGTTATCTTAAATATAAGCGATTTATAAGTTAAAGTTAAAGATGGTTGTGTCGTTGACTCACCCAAAATATAAGCATGTACACATTGTATATTCTTCAGACACAGTATCAATATTCTATTTAACTATTGTAGTCAAAGATATATGATTAGTTGTTTTTGGCCTTTAACTAGCTTTCGATACTCGCGAATACTTTCAGATCTGTTCTTGTCTTTATAATTTTTGTTAGGATTTTGCTGTGCTGTATATCGATCTAACGAATTAAGCCCTTTTCGTCTGATTTATTTAGTTTTCTCTTATGGTGTTATGTTACACCACTGTCCCAAAATTATGTATGTGTCTGTCAGGAACCTGTAATTCAGTGGTTGTCGTTTGTTGCTTTATAACATATTTGATTTTCGTTTATTGTTTTGTACATTGTTTGATATTATGTTAGGAAAGTGGTTAATACCGTGAAACTAGTTCGTATGATATAGACATCAGCGTATATTTAAGTGTCTAATTCTTTCTTCTTTGTCTTCGCGGTTACAAGTCGAACTTTGCAATCGAGTGTAATTGACCTAGGTAGATTTTAACTATGGATTATTATCAGTTCCAACATCAATAAAACATATTTATTAAACGGTACCATATTACTTAAACATTGAAAATATACATATAATAACTTTATTTTTTTTATATATAGATCGGTGCTGTTCAAAATCATTTTAAAATGAAATTTTTTTTTGTTCCAGGTCAAACGCCTAGAATAGGATTCACGTCAACCATAAGTAAAGACGTCGTTAATCTTGGTGACAATCAAGTTATCCGCTTTGATACAGTGTATACAAACGAAGGGGGTGACTACAATCATCTAACGGGTATTTTCACGTGTGAAATTCCAGGGCTATACGCTTTTTATGTTCATACTTTGGCAGAACCTGGAAAACACCTTGAAACAGAAATAACTAAAAATCTTCGAACTATGGCAAACACGTATGCATACGATAAAGAAGCCTTTTCCTCCGGAAGTAACATGGCTGTGATGATACTCCAAAAAGGTGATACTGTGCTGGTCCGATCTCATGGCAGTGCGCATTCTCATAATGGATCAGTGATTGACTACTGGTATACATCCTTCTCGGGGTTCCTGATTGCACCTTGAGCTAAACGACATAAATATGCCTCAAAATTATTTACGTTTTTTTTTCATTTATTGTTACGAAGAAAACATAAACGAGTTATATTGCTACGTGACGTTAGGCAAACAATCAATCAATAAAAAAAGTTCTGAAAGCAGAAAAATCACATTGTATGATTTAACCTCATACAAATACTAAGATTGCAACTCAAACAGGACTTAAGATTACTTAATACTGTATATTAAGCTAAATTCATACCTGTGTTTATATTTGCCCGCATATGTCTTTGTGAAACTCTGTTTTATAAGATTGACTCAAAACGTTCACATTGAAGGTTAAACAAACTTTTTACTGTTTGTTTAGTGTTGCTTAATCTTCAGTATTTTCTTTTGTTGATTGTTAACTGTCGGATGTTCTGCTCTTAACTCTTTTGATAATGGTGACGTCTGTTTTTTCCTCGGCTTCTTTATTTCCTTTTTTCGTTTTTCAGAGAAAAGTGCTCTGAACTGAAAAATAAACGTAGCATTCGTACTTTTAAATTAGGAAGATTTAATGTTACAGCTGTTGTATCATCAGTGGTGTGATTGAAAGGAGTTACTTTGCATATCAGCCGAATATTGAATAAATAAGTAATAATAGTTGACCGAAAATATTCTATATTTATTCAACAGTTAGTTTTTTTCCTAACACAATAAAAGAACAGCGTTTAAGTGTCTCCAACTGCAGCATTATATTTTATCATTCCAGGGGCAATAACTATAATATTTGTTGTTCTTTGATATTATTTATTCTGATTTTAGCTAGTTTTTGTTTCTATCTTTTTACACTATCTCTCTTGAATAGCTCTTTGATTATAATATATGATAAAATAATATCCCTTGTTACGCTGACATTTTCTCGCATTAACCTTTGACATAAAGTACATTTAAATCTGACCAAAAATGTAGGCTGTTTAGCAAAAATTACAATGCAATGTTTCACATAGTTTACATTTTCAAGGAACATAACTCCATAAAAATACTAGTAATCAATCCGTGTTAATTTTCGAACTCGTTACACATAAATTTCATTTATATTCTACAAGAACTGTAGCATAAGCACTCCGGAAATGTTTTCAGTTATTGGCTTTCAAATGGCACACATCGTGTCAACTTCAAGCAAATATCTGGACATGTATATATATGATAAGATGGGAATGTTGCTACGGCATATGCAACATATCAACAACAAGTCATTTTAAACTGAAGTCTATATAAACATGATTTATTGCTTCATTTTTATCTAAATGAAACATTATATATTTAATTCAGAGATAGCAATAGTCATCGATAAATCACAGCTAGATATTAGCCGATGATACAAATGCAAAAAGGGACGCAGATGATACCAAAGGAATATTTAAACTCAAATCGAAAACGTTTTGACAATGCCATGACAAAAAATGAAAAAAGATCAAAAGATAAACAATAGTCTGCAAAACACAACATAGAAAACTAAAGAGTGAGCAGCACGAATCCTTCCTAAAACAGACTCCGGAAAGTTAAGCAGATCCTGCTCAACATGTGGCAACCGTCATATTACTGAAAAAAAACCTGGTGATACCTTGAAAAAGAAAAGAGGTCGAGATTGTTGTATCTACAGTCATATGTGAAACAAACTAATTTCCCAGTTTATTTTCCTATTCATGTAGCAATGCTAGTGATAGAATCATAATGTTTTCTTATATTTACAGTGTTGTAGTATTTGGTAATGTCTATCACATTTCTCATTCAATAGTTGAAGTAGCAATTTGGGGCTATTTAACTGGCAGTTCTACCATCGAATATACTATCAATCCTCATTTCTGAAATAAATGGTGAAATAATGCATTTATTAGACAACAAATAACAAAATTACCGAACTCCAAGGAAAATTCAAAACGGAAAGTCCCTTATCAAATGGCAACAACTAAAGCTCAAACACATCAAGCGAATTGAAACAACTGCCATATTCCTGACTTGGTACAGGCATTTCCGTAAGTAGAAAATGGTGGATTAAACCTGGTTTTATAGCTAGCTAAACCTCTCACTTGTATGACAGTCGCAAAAAATTCCATTATATTGACAACAACGACTTTTTTCACTCCCTATCACAACTGTTATATCTTTTAGTCAATGAAACCAGCTTGTGTCTTTAGATGAAGTTAATTGTAACAATTAGAATCGGAGCTCAAAGGAGATATCATAATCTTTAAATATTTAAGAAATCGATAATATGCTAGACTGTGTTATTGTTTCCATACTTTTACTAGATGTTAAATTTAAACATTCTGAGATGAGTATAACAGCGGATATTTAACGCTATTATTCGGTTAAACATTTAAACAATATCTTATCTGTTTGGTTGCGATGATGCAAGTATTTCCTGTCAAACCTTTCATTTGAGAACTCAAACTTTGGATGATAAGCAGTTTGCTCACAATTCCATAAAAACGTATTTAATATACATATACAATATCTTGCTATGTATTGCTATAAACTTACTTTTCAAGATAATAGAGAAAACGTGAAAAATAGTCATGTATCTTTACATATATTCTCTGTAACTAATTGCGATCTACATATATTCAAGAAATATTTGATCGGTACCCTGCAAAGGCATAACAGGATGTTCTGTTAACATGTGAACTTGGTATGCATATTTATACACATTCAAAGGAGATGCTAATATTAATGATACCGGTATAGGAGGACATTGATACATTATTGAAACAGGTCGCCATACATTTATGGAGGTTTGCATAGGTAGAGTGTGCCAATGTCTTTGGTCGAACACTATCAAAACTTTTTCAGCTAGAGAGGAATAACCTAAATTATATAAATCTATGGGCTCCATTTTGCTGTGTCAATACATTATAATTGCTAAATTAAAAAATATTATATCAGATTTTAATATACTCGTACTTATGATGTGATCTTAATGGTTAAAGGTGTGTGAGTACTGCTGCGCCTCATTTGTGACTAGTAATCGTATAAACACTTCATGTATATACCCGCAAGTAAATATGACAAATGTCACACTGCAGATCTTAAATATAACATGACATTTAAGTGAATCCAACTCCGTATAAGGAGAATTATCGTCGTGTTATTGGTTGTGTCGTTTTGTTTTGTTATATGGAGTATATGATATTGATGACAGAACTGGTAGCTTCCGCTTAATTTATTCACATTTTTTCGTACTCGCAACTGTCTATTATTCAAAACTGTATTTTTCCATGATGATCTCTGGCTGTCTTTAGATTATTTGTATCATTTGGTTACTGTGTCATACACATCATTTGTATTTATATGAATTATTTTATGTCAAATTAACAGTTTTTCTAAGAATTTATCATTCAGAGATGTCCTTCAATAACATGATAATGATTATATTTGTCATCGGTGATATTATTGAAATAAGTTTTGTATTTTCCACCAGGAATTTGAAAGGAAAGTTTGTTTAGGTATTACGTGCCACATGCTCATATCTATGTGTTTGACATAGTTTATAGCTATACTTTTTAGTAAACAAAATGATAAAATCTTTTTGTGTTACGATTTAAAAACAATTGAAAAATGTGTATTTTTGGCTATTCAAAGTTGATTGGCGGAGTCACAAATATCTTTTCGTGAAAATTGATGGAGAAAGATTGGCCATAAAAACTTTTTTTTTTAATCACAAATTTAATGATCATTATTTTGCTTACATATAAAGTACATTAAGAAAACAGTATACTTAGCTTAGTATACACATTCCTCATAATAAATTCGTAGTAAGTGAACATTGGGAGGGGAAAGAATTTTGGTGAAAACTTTTATTTTCAAATCACAGTCTTTGAGAAACGTCTTTTGTGCTTGGATATCAACAAAAATCTTTACATAGGTTTACTTAGCAGTTACAAATTGCCAACAGTATTTTTTTTTAGTAAGCTGCTGTCCTTTCAACCGAAATTGATTAACACTTAAATTTACATGTACCCCTTTGGTTCTTGGTGTCGAATATTGGAAAAAAACTGTTTTGTGCTACAAATCACAAATGTTAGAAAAAACATGCTTATGATATAGGTTTTAACGAAAATTGATATTAAGCTATATTATGATATCCAAATTATTCCTCGTGTCTAATGTTATAATTGTGGTAAATATTAGGTATTATAAACATAAACAACAAATCTCGAAAAACATAGGTATTATGATTTTGCAAGGATTTCAATAATACCTATTTATAGGTTTAATTTGCTATTAGAATTGATATTGGTTGTCTTAAATATTAATTGCCACCGACAATTTCTGAAATGGCTGCCAAATGCATATTACATGGATTTTCATCAAGTTCTATATTGATAGAGAACAAATCCTGAATTAATTCCTTGTGTTAGATGTAAACGAATGATACAGTAATTCCTATTGTTAGAATTTAATAAAATGATACATCATGAACTTGAATTGCTTTGCGTGAATGATTATGGAATATTCAATTCTGTGCACGACTGAAAAATGTACAAATGTGACCCTTTCTGACATGTCAGTTTTCTAGTTCACAATTTGTTTTTACTTGGGGCTATTTTTATCCCTATATATCGTTATGGCTCCTATCTGCTGTTGAAGACCAATATTATGTTGGCCTATTGAAGTCCGTTTATGTTTGTGTTTGAAGCTGTTTCAAAGCAATATATGATTAAGACGAAAGCTCAATTAGAAAAATTTTATCTGTTGCATTAGACGTTTGGTCCTATAAGTATCTGATGATTAGTAATTGAAAAATATCAATCTTGTGCACTGAAAGAAAAGTTAAATTCATAATAATTGAATCATACAATACATGCGAAATTGACCTTTTTTTTTAGAAATTGTGTAGCTTAGGTTTAACCATGTTTTTTGCGATTTCTTTTACAAAGCTTTGTCTGGAAATGTTTTAATACATCTCTTATTATGTAAATATTAGAATGTTTGTCCTTGTTATAAATGCCTTATCAATAATCGTATTTGCACTAAACGATATGGATAGCCTTTGTTCATATTAGTGAATGTAA